AATGATCACTAATCTGTATAAAGAAAGCTTCTTTAAACATTTTATTTTAATAAAAATCACCTCCAAAAACCACGGATTTCTTTGAAACACAGCGCCTCCCCCTGGACAGTAACGCTAAATACAAGACTCAGACAACATTTTATGTCATTTTGTACTTATTTACATATATTTAGGCTTTTCATTTCCTTACTCTTTATGTTTTAAAGTAAGAGTAAAATTTATACAAAAATCATACAGAGAACCAATAAAATAAAATAAACGATATGATACCTGCTCAAAAATAGATTGAAACATAAATATTAAATGTGTATAAAGTACAGGAATATCTCAAGATAGAAAAATAATTCTGATTAATTTTCTATTATACACTTAAATGGACATATGCCTCGTTTTGAGACAAGCATAGCAGGAGTGTTGCTAAATCAAAAAAGGCAACCCAAAAGACAACCCATTCAAGTAAACCTGTTTTAATGTTGCATTTTACATATATATATATATATATATATATATATATATATATATATATATATATAAGTATATACATGTACATATATATGCTTAAAAAGGATTTATAAATAGGTTTATAAATAGGAGAAAAATCACACTGATCATAAAAGTACTGTGAAAAAGTTCAAAATGTTTTTCTAGTAATTTAAATGTGCATAGAGTATTATTTCAAGCCCTTTTTTTTGTAACTTATTACAGTTAATGAACTCTGAAAATTATTTTAGAAAACATTTAATATAGTGAAACCGTTTTATTCGTAAAAAAAAAGTTTAGTGAAGGGAGAAAGTGTTGTGGTAAAGGTTGCACCACAATATCAGAGGTTTAAGTGCTAATTAGAAAAAGAATCAAACTGTTGCTCTAATGTCGTCCTTTCAGATAATTAATAAAGTTTTTATTAATTTATCAAATAAAGGCCCCTGGTTCAGGAGGAAGAGTGAACAGGCTCAGGTTTCCACTCAGCTGTCCTTTTTGGTGCCTCATCATATTGATTTAGAGATTTTCTGAAGTCCATCCTATGAAGCCATTAACCACGAAATCTGTGAGACAATTTTGCTTCCTAATGCTGAAAAGTTTTATGAAGATGCTGATTTCATTTTGTAGCAGGACTTGGTGCCGGTCCACATTACCATAAACATCAAAAAATAGTTTTAACAGAACTTCCTGGGTGATCACCTCCACAATGACTTTTAATTCACACAAAGCAAAACTTGATAAAAGTATCAAGTACATGAAAATACCTTTCGAAGTATAGCATTTATTTTAATATTGTAATAGTATATATTTTGTCTGCGATTTATAATAATCAAAACACTTGATTAAATTATTAAAAAAGCTGTTTAACTGTCATTTTAAGCTGGCGTTCATTGGTCAACCCTCCCTCCCTGCCTTCCATCCCATTGGTCGGTTTATTCTAACTCTGCCTCCTATTGGTCGGTGTAGTGTAACTCTGCCTGCTATTGGTCGGCTGTGTCCGGGTCGTTTTACTCCGCCTGACTGCGGTGTCAGACTCAGGTCATTGCCTTTACCTGACAGGAACCATAACAGCACCAGCATGGCGGCCCGTTTTCTCCTCCGAACCTGCTCCTCCAGAGCCCTGCAGCTACGTGGGATCTCCGCGGGGAGACAGCTGCGTGCCGTGGCCACGGGAGGTAGGGGGCTTTATAAACAGCTGTCCACCGAGGCGCTATTAGCTGCGTCATTTAAGATCATTGCGCATTTTTAATTTTAATAACTCCGCTTTCTACCTGTCCCATACACCATCCCCTCCCAGTAATAAACTTTATGCTTTATTTAATATTTATTTTAACCATATATGGCAGCAGCGTTTGAACAGTAATGAAGGTCATCTGTGGCCTTTGATAGACCCTCCTACCTGGCAGCTTTCCCTGGATTACAGCCAAATTTCCTGCTGAGGAGAGGGAGGAGTCCTGTGACAAAGTTCACTTTTATTGCCACTAAGCTATTTATCCCTCTGCTTCTTTTCTCTTGAACTTTTTTTTTTTTATTGTCTCCTCAGGAATACCAACAGATGATGAACAGGCCACTGGGCTGGAGCGACGCACCCTGCAGGCCCTCAAACAGGGAAAAGTGGGTTTTCTATTCATGTTTTCTTGTTTTAAACACCTCCACCTGCTCTGATTGATCCACATTTCCACACATTAACTTCACAGGACCCCTACAGCATCCTGAAGCCCAAACAGTACACCGGTACCAAGGAAGACCCTCACATTGTCCCTGGTATTGGAAACAAGAGGATGGTCGGCTGTCTCTGTAAGCATCTACTGATCCTCCCAGGTTGTAACGCACCGCCGGATACCATGGATATGACTTTTCTTTCTGGTTTGCAGGCGAGGAGGACAACACGGCTATAGTGTGGTTCTGGCTCCATGAGGGAGAGCCCCAGCGGTGTCCTTCATGCGGGTCTCACTACAAGCTGGTGCATCATGAACTGCCCCATTAAATGGGGCCAAACGCTCCGAGCAGCTCCTACTTTTAGTGGAAAGTGTGCTCATCATTTAACATGTACAGTTTGTCATTAAAACATAACAGAAAAATAACTCAGGTCCTGTTTTGTTTGTTATGAAAGCATCAACACCTCATTATTTTATTTTTTTCAGCAAGGACACAATAGGTCAGAAATGTTATCACAGCCTTTCTGCAGCAGTAAGGTGTCCCCTACGTCCTGATCCCTCTTCTATTTGTTTTATAAACAAATGTCTGCAGCAGGAATTATATTCACCACCATATTTGGTTTGCAGATTGTTTTTTTTAAGTAGTGAAAACTGACTTTAAAAAATGTCTGTAGGGTGAAAAGTCTGCAACTTGATCACTTAACATTGCAGGTGGTTCCACACTGGAAAAAACATCTAGAGAAGTCATTTTTTTGTTAAAATAAGTGCATTTGTTCTTGAATTGAGAAGGTAAAAGACGTTTTGCCAATTGGACAAAACAAATTATATTTAAAATAAGAAAAGAAAATTGCATTGTCTTATTTCAAGTGCATTTTATCTAAACATTTTATTTTAAGAGAAAAAATGCTCATTGCATTGGCAAATCATCTCATTTACCTGTTCAAATTAAGGGTAAATACACTTATTTTAAGAAATGTTTACTTATTTCTAGATCATTTTTCTAGTGCTCATTATGAATAGTCACTAGAAAAAATAAAGCACGGCAGCATTTGGAGGTTTATCAGAAAGATTGACAATTTAAATGTTGGGTCATATTTTTAGGAAAGGGATCCAAAAAAGTGAAAAAAAACAATCCACTGGACTTTGTTTCCAAGTTTTAAGATGTTAAGCTTCCCATCCAGGAAGCTTTTTCAAATCAAAATGTCAGAATTAGCATTGATTTCAAGGCTTTATTTAATTCAGACATTTTGAATTGAAATGGGAATGCATGGGAAGAGAAACATCTTCAAACTTGTAAACAAAGTCCAGTGGATTGTTTTTTTTTCACTTTTTTGGATCCCTTTCCTAAAAATATGACCCAACATTTAATCAGTCAAATAAACTAAAATTAAATACGTTTTCTGGTGGGAAATGGGCTGAAGGAAAAGAACCATAGTTGCCACCTAAAGTGGAAAGAGAAAAGCTCCTGTAGGGGGAGAACTGGATAAATGGGGGAGCAATTGATTCAGAAGCTGGAAGTGAGTTTCTAAAGCTGCATTTCTCTTTTCATCGATCCTAACCAGGTTTGCTGATGAGGTCGTCTGACAGAATAATTTGTTTGTTCACCAAACTGAGTGCTAGAATTGAGAAACCTCTGAATATAGTTCTCAGAAACGATTTCAAACTGCATACAATGAAATCTAACACTTTAAAAATTACCTAGAAATAAGTACAATTTACTTAAATTAAGTGTATTTACTCTTAATTTGAGTAGGTAAATGAGATGATTTGCCAATTAAATTAGTATTTTTACTCTTAAAAATAAGATCATTAGATAATATGCATTTGAAATAGGACAATGCAATTGTGTTTTCTTATTTTAAATGTAAATTGTCTTGTTCCATTGGCAAAATGTCTCTTTTACCTCCTCAATCCAGAATTTTGATTCATCTTTAAAAAGATCAGTTAGAATTGATGTTTAAAAACTCAGAATGTTTATTTTGATACTTTTCATTCTTTTCTTTTCCATTTGAGGATTGGCAGGGTTATAGAATCAGATTAAAAAATGGTTATTGTGGGATATTTAGTGATAAGAATCACTTTTTTATATAGCTGGAGTCCTGAAGACGCCTATTTAAATGTGTTTATTTTCTAAGAGCATTATTAATGACTGTGGGACTATGACTGCACTGCAAAAAAATGGAAATCTAAATAAGTAATTTTTGCTCAAATTAAGTGCATTTTTTCTTGAATTGAGGAGGTGAGACAGTTTGCCTATGGGACAAGACAATTTACATTTAAAATGAGAATAAAACAATTGCTTTGTCTTATTTCAAGTCTATATTAGCTAATTATCTTATTTTACGAGTAAAAATCCTCATTCCATTGGCAGATCATCTTATTTACCTGCTCAAATTAAGGGTAAATACCCTTAATTTAAGACATTTTTTTACTTATTTCTAGATGTTTTTTGCAGTGTGCTGCAGCATAGGGGCCTAAGAAGGATTTCAAAAGAGTAATTAAGTTTCTTTATAGTCGCTAATCATGATAGTACCACAAATTATAACATTTAAAGTCTTTGCCGCGCAGTTCTTGTTACAGCCGATATCTGATGTCCTATATCGTATATTTCCCTTCACGTTGGACGCCATGAAAAACCAAAAATAATACTGATGTTGCTTTTCTTCTGTTAGAAATCCACAATCCAAATATACAATATGACTGATAGCTTTCCATCCAGAAACCAAAACAAAACTATAAGAAAATAACAGACATAAAAATAAAAAATTGGCCCAGATTTAATGATCAGATTGATACTAACCTGCTTACAGACCACAAACATCACTCATCCTAAAAATAATAATGTATCGTTTTTTTTTTTTAAAGAAATCAGGCTCTACACAACCATCGTTAAACACCACCTGAAATTATTTTATTTATTTTTACTGGCTGCAGTTGGTTTTGTAATTTATTGTGGATAGTTTAAGGCAAACAGCCACAGAAACAGAGCCTGCACTCGAATGCCTCTCGGCCAAACGCCACAAACATGTTTACAAGAACAGAACTCCTGGAAAATGCAGACTGGCTCCTGATACGATGCAAACTCTGCATAATTTTTCGTCGTGTGCGGCTGACATCACCGCCTAATTTAATGCAACCTGTCAGTTTTCCCTGTTTCATTGTTTTTACAGGAGTTCTGTTTGTTTTTCAATCATTTACAGCAGAAATCCGGCTCAAACGTGAATAAAAGCGTATCTAGTGGCCATACATCAGACCTGAGCTTGGCCGTCGGGATTCCGTAATGGCAAAAACCAAATTTGATCAATCAGCTTCCTCCTTCCAGAGACCGGCCAGTTCTGGCAGGTTTGTTGAAAACAAAACATCTGGGAATGTGTCCGCCGTCGGAAAGTTCAAACTGAAGTGGCGTTCCTGCATCAGGCCAGGTTAAAGCCTTGATTGTGATCTATGGCGTGTAGAAGCTTCTCTCTGAGTGTTTCTATATTGGTGTATTTGGGAAGGTCTAAGAGGTTGAAGCAGGTGTGAGCTACAGGTAGGTAATGCTCGCCTCCACCGGTGGGCTGGATCACCAGCTTCAGGCTCTTCATGCCCAGGATGGGGATGCGGTCGCTTCCTGTGAGGAACACTGGGGGAAAAAAAGGTAGAATGGGAATTTGTAGCTTAATGACAGAAGATGTTTGAAACACGGTTGGTTCATCAGGCAGTTTGGGATAAACTTACAGAGAAACTGCTTTTTCTTTTCCAATGGAAGCTCATGGAAGACCTCCCAGAAAAGCTTTATGGTTGGATGTTCAGCCCAGTATTCTCCTTTATATTCAGTGCTCTGCAAAGCAAAAAAAACAGGAATTTAAGTCTTGAATAGTGTAAATAAATTTGACTCCACCCATAGCAAAGATATGCAGCTTTTCCACATTTTGTCACCTTATTACAGTAGGTGACAAAATGTCACAAAATGTTTGAGGTTTTTTTTTTGATTGACCAACACAGCGGTGACGATTGGAACGAATAATAGTTTAAAATTTCTATGAAAAATTAAATCTGAAAAGATTAACTCCTTAAGTCCAGAAGGTTTTAAGAGCAAATTCCACCTGAAATTACATATGTTAATTAAAGCATGTACAGCTCCTAAACTATAAACAGGGTTCCTACAGCATAAGGCAAGTTAAATTCAAGACTTTTTAAGACTTTTTAATGCCACTAGAAATAAAAATTTAAGACCAAATTCACAAGAAACACAAGAAAAACCTGCTTGCGACAACTTAACCCAAAGGTTTATTTTAACATAGTGGGACGGGACAGGAGTGAAAATCCACTCCCGTGTCAGTCTCTAATGTAGACCAAGAGGACAAACCTGAACCAGATTTATAAAGTTTACTACTCCAGATTCTACCTCCAGAACCACCTTCCATCGATCTGCTGCAAAGAACTCCACACTTTGCTGTTGTTATTGAGCAAAAAGTAAACCGTATCAAAACGTTTAAAAGTTTGTTGAACTAATAATTTAAAATCCAAAATGTTATCAATAAGACCTTTTCTAGCTCTGTCCAGTCATAGTTGGTGTTTCCGATGACCATAGCTTGGAGCTCGCTGGGCTGGAACAGATCTAAAACTTTTCCGCCACACACTTTGTGGAAGCCTGCGTAGAAGCCTTCGAACAGCGGCCCTACGGAGGAGTTGAAGACGTAGTCGACGTAGGCGTCCACAAAGTCCTGCCTAGGAGAGAAGTTCACACGGGTCGGATCAAACGGTTAGAGCCGCCTGATCGGTTAACGACTGCGGAATGAGGCGGCTTAGGGATTCTTACCGGTTCGACTTATTGACATTGATGTTCTCACCGTTTGGTACCAATTCTAAGACCTCGGTGGCGCCGTAGTTATCCTCCGTGATCTGAAGAAGACGACAAAGATTGTTTTGAGTTTGTTTCTTTGAAGCACAGACCTATAACTCCTAAAATGCTGCCTTACGGTGAAATTCAAACAGAAAGTGTCTTCTATGTCATCCTCCGTGTAGTCGAGTAGTTCCTGCAGGCTCCTAATTGAAGGTGACATCACAGAACGGTGAAAACAGGCAGAATCCAAGTGTTTAGATGATCAGAAATGAACGGACCTTCCTACGTCTGGCATTAGCTCCTTCAGGTCTTCCAGCGTCGGTTTCCTCTTCAGGAGCTTCTTGTAAAGCGCCAGCGGGAAGTTGAGCTCCACGATGGTGAAATTGTAGATGGCCAGACCGCAGATGACCCCAATGAGGTTAAACAAGTCAAAGTCCTCGAAGGTCTGGAACAGCAAGAAGAGGCTCTGATCAAACCCAACATAGAACACAATCATCTAGATATGGTTCAGGCATGCCTCACTAGTCCTGTTCTGGAACATTTTAAAGGATGGAGCAGAGACAGCGGTCTTAAGCCTGAGTCCTCGATCATCTTTTGTTTCGTTAAGGTTTTCTAATTGATCTTTGGCTGAGCTAGTCTTTAAAATATCCATAAATCCATTTCTGTGTGGATTTAACCCTTTGTCTGGCTCTAGAGATAGACCTCGTGTTTTTTTTCCCTGTATTAACATTGGCCGTCACGCGATTCCCTGCTCCCTCCATCTGCTATCCATTCATTTGATTTGTTACTAAATGTTTCTTTTATTTATGATGTTTAATCGTCTAATTTTTACGATGAAAATGTAGGAAGAATCCATGAATCAACCCAAAAATCGGCAGCACAAACCAGGAATTGGTTAAACTGTTGTCAAAATAGTTAGTAACTAAGGATTATTTTGTAAATCAATTAAGCTATTGATTATTATTTTTTTTTTTATTTATCTTAAATACAAAATATTTATATATTTTCTTACAATTTTGGTATAATTGCTGCTCTAAGTGGGTCGCTCTGTCAGCTAAAGGCGCTTTACAGCCTCTATACTCTATTTAACGATTCATCAATTTATAAATTAGTTGACAATTATTTCAATAATCGATTAATCACGATTATTCCGATTAATTGTTTCAGCCCTCTTCTGTATCATTTAAAAAATAAAAATCTATCTGGGTCATCTTCCTGCAGAATTACACCATTGTGATTTAGTTTTTGTTGTTTTCCGTTTAAACTTAACGGAGTTAAAATCCAAATGTTCCTGGGTTTATTACAATCTTTAGAAGAGAAAAAGGCCCAAAGCATTACAGATCCCCAGTCTTACTCAACAGTGGGCACCAGGTGGGTTTGCCTACTCTTATCTTTTATTTCACTGCAGACCTGAAGTGCTTTTTGGAACGAAAGTCAAACTGCTTCTTGTTTAAGTTCCAGTTGGTTAATAAAATCCAGAGATGGGTGGAGAGAGAAATCTCTGGCATGAAGTTAAGTGTCAAGTGGCTGCTGGAGGGATCTGTTGACCAGGTTTTTAGCAAGGCGAACATAAAAAAAATTAAAAATTGTATGCCTTATTTAAAAAAAGAGTCTCAGTCAAAAAGTTTTCTGGGTTAGGACACCACCAGAACCCTATACGCTGCGCAGAGCTTAAATATGTGACACACCAGGGCAAACCCTATGAAATATTCCTAGCTAAAAGCTAGGGTTCCTACAGCATAATGCAAGTTAAATTTAAGACTTTTTAATGCCACTTTAAATAAAAATTTAAGACCAAATTCATAAGAAACACAAGAAAAACCCGCTTGCGACAACTTAACCCAAAGGTTTATTTTAACATAAACCACTGCACTAATGTTTTCAAATTTTGAAAAGCTTCCCATACAGGAAGAAAGCTAAAAACACACAAATGACAGATATATTTGAACAATTATTGAACTGAATTCACAAACTTTGTTTTAGCAGGGAACAAAACAAATCAGTTTTAAAGCCCCAACATAACCAGTGCTAAGTCTTTTTTGCAGATATTTTTCTTTGTATGGTTTTCTTAGTATGTTTGATTTGGTGATAAGTGGAGGCGTTGCAGAGACAAGGGTGGAACTAAACTGAGAAATACCGGCTGTTTCTCTGTAACTCCATTTCGACGCTTTGTGTTTTGTGCTTCGCATGTGTGACTCCACTGCCTTAATTCCCATCGTTCTGAGCTTGAATGACTTCTTGCACTAAATCCACTGAGCCTCATGTATGTTCCCTGGTTTTAGCCATGGAGAAAACTCTTGGCTGGAGACAATTTTGGTTACATTTACACTTGCTCATATTTTCCAGACAAAAAGTTAATGGTGCATCTCCCAAATGTCCCGGCCGCAACAACGCTTTATTGGTTCCGCTATCGGGACGGAACCAATAATGGTGAGCCGTTATTTTTTTTTATTAAAAGAAAAAACGTTTTATTTAGATTACAAAAATAAATCGTAAAAAAAATAATCCTATTTATGATGTTTTAACAAATTAAGACCTACGAAAGACTGATTTAAGACATTTTAATACCAATTAAGGGCTTAATTTTATTTTGAAGAATTCAATGCCTTTTAAGACTTTTTAAGGACCCGCGGGAACCCTGTGTTGTGTTAAACCCAAAAGCTTTGCAGGTGTTCCTAATAAAACCGTCAGTTTCTCAAAGCTCTAATTGTTTTAACCCTTTCAGTTAAGCCTGCTGCAGATAACAGGAGGTCAAGGCGATGATGTCCATCCTGATGGATGATCAACGTTCAGCTGTAACTATACACCATCTCTCATCTTTTCTTTTCCATTTTCTGTTTTAAAACAGATGTTTCACCCCTAAAAATATGACCTGTCCTGCGTCGTTCCCAGCGGTGCTGATGAGAGTGAGAAGCACCGCACTGATAGCCGCTATCAAACCATCCTTAGCGCATGAAGGCTGTGTGGATTCTCACAGAGAGCTCCTCACCTTGTGTGAAAACCAGATGAGTCTGGATTCCTCGTAGTAGCGAAACATCCCATATTTGGGATCCAGCAGCTCTTTCATGATCAGGAGGAAGAACTCCTTTCTGACGCCTCCAGCATCGACTGCATCTTCTCCCACGAAGATAACCTGCAATGATGATATAAAAGGTGCTATTTGTTTTCCTAGTTTCCCATTTTTCCAGTTAAAATGGTGCAGCTGCAGCCTAACTCTGGTTTGGGCTGCTGAACACATTTTACCTTGAGCGGTTTTTTGTAGTCGACGTTCTTGGATTTCCTGAGGACCTCCATTGTGTCTCCAACGATGTTTTCCCTGCGCACGATCAGGATGAGACAGGGGTTGACGGATTCGACGGCTGGCAGGAACATGGAGCTGAAGTTTTGCAGCTGGGCCTGATCCACCGCCATCTGGTTCACGGAAAACAAGCGGCGACTGTTAAACTGATACTCCTTTGCACTCAGTCGCTATAGTGGAATAAATCCGACCTGCATCTGAATGACGGCGTCTGTCTGCAGCAGCGCCGTTTTCGCCTGAGCGTCGAATACGAAGGGGTATTTGCAGAGAGTCACCACGCCGTCTCGACCCTGAGGATGCAGAGGAAGAAACGCATGATGATGATTCCCAGTGATGGGGTCGATTCACCCGAGGCTGCAGGCCTTTAGGAGGAGAAATCTACCTAATAAATTTACACTGGATGAGGAAGAACTGTAAACTTGTTTTATTTTTCCCCATTTGACTCAACTTTTATGATTCATATAAAGGTTTAACCTGAACCATGTTAATCTAACAACTGAGCATTGTGAGAAACAGTACAAGTTTATGGAGTTAGCCAGGATTTAAAATAAATTAAGGATGAGAGATTAATTGATTTTTATTAATTAATCAAGTTGTTTTGTTGATAAAGATTAAATTTATGGAAAACCAGAATGTTTTTTTCCCAGCAATCCACTTCTTTGTCTTCCATAACTTCTTCCAGAGTGATATCAGTTCATAACTTTTTGTTGTTTTGATATTTAACCATGACTGATACCACCAGCTAGGGCTGGTATTTGCAATATGATCGCAATTTATAAAAATGCAATTTTCATATTACATAGTCACTTGATTTTTAACCACCAAACATTCAACAAGAGTAAGACCCTAAATTTCTTGTTTCAGCACTTTAATTGGGAGTAAAACGATAAAAGTGGGTATGCGGCTGCACAGAAGGGGGGACAGGGTTGCAGCTATCACATAGATTAATGCATTTTAGTACAACTTGTTTGTGCAAGTTTAACAGTAAAGTCTTGCAACACTGGACTCTGGACATGCAGGGTTTAAAGGGCATGAAAAAACTGAAAGCCTGGAGTAAAACCTCGACATGCTTGCTCTTAGTGAAAAGGATTATTCCAGTAAAATCCAATCGCAATATTGGTTGAAAATAATCGCAATTTGGATTTTGGCAAAATCGTTCAGCCCTAAAACCAGCTGAAATACATTTAGTTTGTTATATTCTTATATGTCTCTAAAAGGGGGATTGTTAGAGGGAATTATTGGTCTGGCTGAAGAGGCGAGATGTTCAACAACAACCCCCCTTTTCAGGAACATAGACCACTGTTTCTCAATCCTGGTCCTCAAAGCACACTGCTCTGCATGTTTTGGATGATTCTGAGGTTCAGCACACCTGATTCAGATGATTGCAGTTCAGCAAAGCCTGATAATCTGCTATCAGCTGGGAAACATCTAAAACATGCAGGGCAGTGGGCCTTGAGGATCAGGTTTGAAAAGCACTGACATAGACAGACTTAGGTTATTAGAGGCTAAGAAAGAAACCAAACGACCCCCAATCCTAAGGGGCGGACCCGCTCATCGGGTTCAATTTATAGGTTTACTAAGCCAAAACAAGATTTTGTTTTGGTCCGCTCTATAAAGCCTTGAACTCAACACAATTTCTGACATTTGTAATTGAAAAAGCTTCCTGGATTGGAAGTCCAGTGGATTGTTTTTTTTTACTTTTTTGGAATGACTATGACCTGGATGACTGAGAATCTTAACCAGCATAGTTCATCGATCATGTGAAGCTATATTTAATCCACTGGTTTGTGGTATTTAAAGTTGCAGAGGGTTACAAAAGTCCGGGAGTTTTAGATACGCTCCGCTGTGAGCGATCTGTGAGGTTGATGGTCTCACCATTGGGTACATTTGCCTCTGGATCCACGTGACGTAGTCGTTTCTGATGTCTATCAGATTATCCAGCTCATGAATGTAGAACTTATCGTACTGGATGATGCTTCCTGCTTTCTCGTTCACCTAAAGAGGAGAGTACAGTGAGAACCGTTAGCCAGGCAGCTGACAGGGAGATTTAGGAGCTCCATTTTTCTCCCTTTCCCACCTTGTGCAGAATCTCCAGGAAGCTGAGTGCCGTGTCCATGAAGCAGGAGAAGATCCTCTGCTCGGCCAGAGGAATGCCCACCTTGTGCATCTGGAGCAGGTACACCACCACATCTTTGTACAGATCCACCAGGCGCTGGAAGAACATGGGCTCGAAGGTGGACCACCAGTTTCCCAGCACCTTCAGCGGAGCCTCTTTCAAACTGATGACACATTTGGCAAAGGGGATAGTGATGGTGATGTAATTGCTGCGGTCGCTGAAGAGCGGGCATTCTGGTAGCGTTAGGTAGAGCCTCAGAGCTTCGATGTCTGGAGGAGAGTTGGTTAATCTGGGAATCAGGTCCTTCTCCAGACTGGCAGCAACCTGAAGCCGAAAGAAGAGGGAGAACAGGAGTTACAGCGGATGTGACGCTTCCATCCTGTCAGGTCAACATCAGGGATGAGGTCAGGTGCATGAAGACGGTCTGATGACGCAATTTGAGTGGAACAAACATTCAAGGATCGCCGAGATGGATGTTTTCATGGAAAAACGCTGCTAATATTGTCACTTCTGTTAAAGATACTTTGAAAAATCTTCAGGAACATCCAGCTGTTAACATATACAGTATAGTATTCTTTAAAAATCATCAGTAATTATTCGCAGCATTTATCAAATACGCACAGTATGACTTAACATTTAACTGAAACCAAAATAAAACGCAGATGAATATGTCTCCTTCATCAGGAAATGGCAAAAAGACAATATCGACCGCCAAATTAAAAGTTCAAAAGTTCAGAGAAATTATTTGAATCATTTCAGGACAAAAAAAATTTGAAAAGTCTGGGAAAAAGAAAAAAAGTCTTCATAGCAACCGCAAGATGCCATCTACCGTATTTTCGCGACTATAAGGCGCATATAAACGTCTTTTTTTCCCCTCAAAATGTGCGGTGCGCCCTGTGTGTGTTGTTACTGCGGACGTTGTTGAGACCACCATGAGAACGTTAAAGGGGGAAGTGTGGGCGTGGATTGGCTGCCACACAAATGAACAGAAACTGCCGCCTATAGTGATTTTTAAGAGAAAGGCTTTGCCTAAAGGGACTTTTCCAGCTGGAGTCGTTATTAAGGCAAATGAAAAGGGCTGGATGGATGAGGAGATGATGAAAGCGTGGCTGAGGGAGGTGTATGTAAGGAGACCAGGTGGTTTTTTCCCACAAATCACCATCACTGTTAATCTGTGACTCCATGCGTGCCCATCTCACAGCCGATGTGAAAAACAAGGTGAAACAAATGAACGCTGTGCTTGCTGTTATTCCAGGAGGTCTGACAAAGGAACTTCAACCGCTCGACATCGGTGTGAACCGGCCGTTCAAAGTAAGGCTGCGAGCGGCGTGGGAGCGATGGATGACCGACGGAGACCACAGTTTCACGAAAATGGAAGGCAGCGCCGGGGGAGTTACGCCACAGTTTGCGGATGGATTGTAGATGCTTTGACTAACGTGTCTGCTGGCTCTCTTGTTCGAGCTTTTGCAAAAGCCGGCATCATTTCCGAGGAGCCGCGCTGCACGGAAAGTGACTCTGACAGCGAAGAAGGGGAAATTGGCATGTCTGATTTAGCGCAGCTGTTTAATTCAGAAACAGAGGATGATGAGTTCGATGGGTTTGATTAATACTTTGTAATAAATACATGAATAAAGCACAAACATACTCAGTTTTGCTCCTGCTCTATTTTTAAATACGCAGTAGAGGTATTTAAACGTAGTAGAGGACATGTACCTGTATATAAAACCCGCGCTCTATAATCCGGTGCGCCTTATGTGTGTGTTAAATACAGAAATGGCGCACATAACTGAGCCTGCGCCTTTTAGTAAGGTGTGCCTTATGGTCTTGAAAATACGGTAAATGTTGAACAGTTGTTTGGGAGGGATGATAGGAAAAATAAAAGGGCCTTTCTGTTAAACATGCATAAGTGGGAATGGCTGGGGATTTAAGTTGGAATAATAACAATACATTTTATTTAAACCTGTATTTCTTGACCGTCTAGATCAATTTACATCTAATTTATAAAAAAACGTAAGAGATTCTTTTATACCTTATAATTCTATTAAGTACGGTTAGGATGTGTGATGCTGTGGGCCTGTTTTTCTTTAGGTGCAGGGAACTATACTCTGATATACAACATGGGACCAAATAGAGGCAGAAACAGTTCACTACACACAGAAATTAAATCCCAACACCTCCACCCTGCAGGAAACCTTTATGCCAAGATGATGAGAATCAGGGAAGATCTAGAGAGACGTCAGCACCGACCTGCTGGGAAATCTTTGGATGGTCTTGTTGAATCAGTCTGTGGAGAAGGAGGCGAGCCGTGTTCATATCCACCCCAGAGTATTTACTGCTGGTACAGAAGTGACCTGGATGACTGAGGAAAAAAGACGGACAGAAGGTGGATATTTTTAGTAATGGTGTGTGCAGGTGGCCCGACGCCTAAAACACACTCCGCCTAAAATGTTTTTACCTCGTTGACAAAAACGATCCGTTGAGGCAGCTTGCAGAGGAGAACACCAGGTCGATCTCACTGCAGCAATCAGAAAGAAGCGATAATTAGTGCGGTGACCTTTAGCTGCAGCGATCTGGAAAGCAGACGGTTTAAATGGAGAGGGCGTTACTTGGATACGTCTGCTGGGAGTCTTGCCGCCGAGTGATTCAGCCATTTCTGTACAACGTCCTCATTCAGGGTGCAAATCTTTCCTGAAAGGTTCTCCATTCTCATATTGTCCATATCCTGAGGGTCCTGCAGTTAAATGAAAAAGAAATACAGCAGCTGGATAAGTGTAGGGGGTGAGAGCGGGTTTGCTTCTGTCTATTGTCAATGCAAGTCAATTATATGTAGGGCTGAAACTAACGATTATTTTAAAAATCGATGAATCGGACAAAAAATATTTTTTATATTAACCTCTTTATTCCAAAATAAACATTTTAGACAGAACAAACAAGCACACAAGTACAGGTTGCTCATTAACTGTACTGGTGCAATATGAAAAATAAATGTTTGTGTTAAAACTACGCAAACTTACATGAGAAATGTAGCTGTACATCCACAAAATATAGGCTACTTTGTTTCATAAAGCGCAAAAAGAGACAGGCATTTTTGTTTTTAAAAGCCCCTAAGGGGCTCAAACAATAGGCCCCCCCATTTCAACAAATGAGTTTTTTTTAGACTAGAAGAGTTCTGCCTTTTAAGACAGGAAAGTATAGCAGTTAAAGTTGCTACTTGAGAAAATACTGAACCATAGAGATAAAAATAGGCCTGTGATCCAAATTATAAATTGTATTTGGAATAAAAATGAGAGAACTAGGGGTGCTAAAAAACACTTCCTCCAAAGACAGATATTTACATGGGAATGTGGCAGATAATTAATTGACATATTACTGATCTTGCTGGATTTTATTCTGCTTTACTTCCATAAATTGCAGGATCTTCTTTACTTTATCTTTGCCAGAAGATTTAAACTTCAAGAGCCTTGCCCTCATAATTTGCAAGTTAATTTATTTATAAAGGCTATTTTAATTATTGTGATCAATTTGCGCCGTCAATCCCGGCGCATGCGCGCTTCATTTGCAGTCTGGATGCTGAAACATCCTGCGGCTCTGACTGCAGCGCTGAGAGGGATTCCTGCGGGAGAACGGGGCTGGGATGGGGGGGGCGCCTCACAGCAGCAGCTGCTGCTGCAGGACAAGAGTAGGAACGATGCATGCTTTCACGTAAGAGTCTCCAAAAGCCGCCAGTGACACCGTTAAAAGTCGCCAGATTTGTCGCGAGTCGCTTTTTTTTTTTAAATAGTCGCTGGAGGGGTCTGAAAAGTCGCTAAATATAGCGACAAAGTCGCTGAGTTGGCAACACTGCGCACCTGCAGCGCTGGCTCGCTCTGCCCTAATTTTTTTTCTTCCCCCGTTTCAGTCAAGTGGCAGTGATGACGGCGGCGGCGGATGACGCATTAATCGCGCGACACAACTAATCGATGATGAAATTCGTTGCCAACGCTTTTAAAAGCTTTTAAAAGTCGATTTTTATCGATTTTATCGATTCGTTGTTGCTAAACTTCTCTAATAGCTCACTTTTCAACTATTGTGTGTTTTTATACACACAATTTCAGGATGCCAGGCAAACTACCTTGCTTGCATTTGAATTATAATCCGCAGTTTGGTTAATTTTTTTTTAACTAGAGTTAGTGGAAATTATGAGAAACTTCAAAACTTGGAAAGATTTAGGGAAGAAGTATGAATACAAAAACATTGTTTCATTTTTTTTCTTTATTTGCTCTTTATTCTGCACCGTGTTTTATGGGTAATCTTAATTATTAAGGGCTTATTTGATTTAGGTTCTCAAAGAACTATAAAAAAAACTGTTGAACATTCCCTTTAAAGGAAAAGTCTGTACATATTCAGAATTTCAATTTTAGAGAGTATTTTAAATATTAAATTATTCCATTTATTTATTATTCCAATTAATCGTAATTTTCATTCGAATGTGCTTTGCTGGAGGCATCCATGTTTGTCAAAGAACACTACTGCCACCTACTGGTTTGTGACGTCACGGTGCGGTATCGGCTGTTGATCAAGTCCCAGTGCTGTATCTGGTGTTTGTCACAACGCGCTATTATCCAAGTCATCTTGAAAACATTCTTCTTCCAAATGTTGGCTACATATTACGGGTTTTTTCTCTGGCCAGAAGTTCGATGGCAAATCCTCTCTCTTCAAGTTGGCGATCCAACGACCAACCCGTCCGTGGAGGATCAGGAATCAGAAAGGTGAAATAACTCTTTTTTTTTCACTTTTACCCGATGTATTCCAGCATCCAGCTGCCATGCACGTGGGCATTGTCAGTTTCACTATAGCTCTGGTGAATTTCAATGGTGAAGTCCTCTGGAAATCTTTAATAATTGTTGTTGATTGCAGATGTGTCTAGTAGTTCCCATTGATTTAGTTTGTAAAGCGGGGAGAATGCGCTAGGCTTACCGCACCGTGACGTCACTGCCGGAAGATGGCAGGAGGGAGGTTTTATTATATATTAGGGCAAAAATGGCCGCCCCAGGACTCAGTGATTGTGACAAAAATGACTGTTTTTATTTTTCTACTGAATCACACTAAATTCATTATATCACTGCAAACGTGTTAGTTTTAGTATAGATAATGATCCATTGATAATTCCTGACCGGACGTTTTCTTTAAAGCCTTTAACTGGCATACTTACATTAACAGTGCAATAATGAGCAAAGCTCTGATCTCCTCCAGCATAAATCCTTTTGACGAAGCAGCTCTGATCAGCATCTGGACAACAAAAAGCATTTATTCAATAACCATTTAGATATACTGGTCATTTGCTTTATTACATTTTAAAGTTCAAATTTATTCTTCATGATTAAAGAGTTTGAATAGAAAAGAAACATGTGCTATTTTCTTCAGCTGGGAGGTCTCACCATTTTCCTCTGCAGCACTGGAGGCAGCCCAGGGGCCTTTGACCGGGGCTGGGCTTTTCCTGTTGCAGGTGGAGCGAGTACCCAGCTGCCCGTTACCCCCCAACCCGAATGAATCCATCTTCCCACAGGCAGGAGTGAAAGCCAGTGTGTGCTGCCTAACATTCAGTGCAAAATAAACATTTAAATCCACAGCTCATCCATGGATTAATCTAATGCATGGCGTGAACATAAATGTGTTTACCTCCCACATGCAATCTGTGTGACGACGTTCCCCATGAGCTCAAACACCTTCCTGGGGTTGATTTCATGGTTGGTAGAGTTATGCCCCAGCTGTCCGTATCCCCCTGCTCCGAAGGTAAACACACCTCCTTCCTGTTAAAAAACCCAGAAATATGAGGCTGAAAATGATCCAGATGCAGAGGTTTACCCGCTTTTCCAAAAACACAAAGGAAAGCAGGTTTAATTCAGTTTATTTCTATAGCGCCAATTCACAATATGTTATCTAAAGGGACTTTCCAGTTCACCAGATCATCCAGTCAAAATGATTCAAAGTTTTCTATCTAAGGAAAACCAGCTGATTGCATCGACTCATTGACTTGAATGCAATCCCTCACACTAAGCATGCTTGTAGCGACAGTGGAGAGGAAAAACTCCCTTTTCAAAGGAAGAAATCTCCTTCAGTACCAGTCATATTGTGAGCGGCCATCTGCTAAGGCCAACTGGGGTTCAAGGAGACAAAAGCAGAGATACAAAAAGCAACCGTAAAAAGTGGCCCCATCCAGGAAACACACAGCAAGGCAGACCAGGTTCAAATACATCCATCCATTTTCTTCCGTTTTATCCGGGGCCGGGTTGTAGAGGCAGCAGTCTAAGCTGAGATGCCCAGACTTCCCGCCCCACACACATCTCCTCCAGCCGCTCTTGGGCGACACCAGGCCAGCTCAGAGACATAGTCTCTCGAGCGAGTCACGGTCGTTCCACAAGGCCTCCTCCTAATAGGACATGCCTGGAGGGAGGCGACCAGGAGGCATCCGAAACAGATGCCCGAGCCACCTCAGCTGGCTCCTTTCGACGTGGAGGAGCAACGACTCTACTCCGAGCTCCTTCCGTGTTACAGGTTCAAATACAGCCTTTTTTATTCCAAAAAATCCTAAATAGGGATCTTCCTTCAAAGAATAATTTAACAATATAGTTTTTAACTTCTAGTTTATAAGCTGTATGAAGCAGTTAGCATTATGCTATCCTATACCACTAAAATGGTGGTATCGGTATCAGCGAGTACCAACAAATAGGGCACTGATACCATTTTGAGAGCCAAAAGTTTATTCAACTATTGTCACCCGTTCCAGGTAGGCAATAAAAAGTTCTACCGGATTCACTTTATATTAGTCTTTTTCTTGCTTCTCAAAGGTAGGCAGCAGCTTATCAAAGCCATGATGGTGATTATTTTACATCCAAGTAGTATGCAGTTCTTCATATATACATACAGACACCCATTTCAAACAGGTGGTATCGGCCGATACTGCACAGCCAGGTATCAGTGCCAAAAAATGGCATCGCTGCAACACTACTTATCACTTATCATAAGCTTTGTACACACATAGGGATTGGGAGAAATTTATTTCTCCATCTAAGCACCTTTTTATTCCCTAGTTTCAGAAATAATCTAGAATCTTCTATCCATCTATGATGCGAAGCCCTGCAAGGCACTGCAGCAATGAAAACCCGTTTACAGTAGCTAAACACCCCACAGGGGCCTTTACCACATTGTTTCTCATTCCTTCAGCAAGTCCAGTTCTACGTGTAGACTGAAAAAAAGTTTACATCTACCTGTGGCAGGAAGATAAAACTCTGCTTCCTTCCTCCATGTTTTCCATGTTGAATCTAGAGAAACAGCTTTGTTATGTTTTAGGATGCAGTGTCGTTGACGTTAAGGATTTTCGGGCAAGTGGCTTTATAAAATTGTAATGTTAAAAATCTAAAAAAAAAACTTGACAGGTTAAAAACTTACACTACTACTACTCACCAATTTAACATGTTTAGCTCTATAACATTTAAATGCACCACTCCAATGTCTAAGAGAAAAAAAATTAATGAACATTTTTTTATGTATGACCTGCATCACTGTACAGAAGACTGCCATGTGATAAAAATATTAACACTGTGCGCATACAATTATTATTATTTATCTAATCCCTGACTGATCATTTTTAATCTAGCGTGTATTATAGTATAGATTAAATTCATCATCCAGCTGCTGCTCTGCAGAATTCTCTCCCCAAGAGCTGAATCACCACATCTAGCTGAAAATTTTCTTGCTCCTAATAGTCAAATGATTAAAATCATGTAATAATATGCTGTGTACTTCTATGACAATGATTCAGCTAAATGCATTTTACAATATTCAACCATCACAGCGTGGGAACATATTTATTTTGCTAATATTTGCACCATCAAATTTCTTTGAACCCCCCTTTAGAAAATCAGGACCCTCCTTTGCCCGCATACTCAGAATTTTATAATTCTCAGTGTAAAATAATGATTTTTATGGAAAATAACTTTCTGTTAAATGAGAAATTTTCAGAATAAATTGGATATTTAACCATAAGACTATCAATACTTTCACTCAAAGGTGAAAACTTGGTGATTGCTGTGCTTCTGTATTAAAAGCGTTCCTCTGGTTTTAAACTTGAAGAATCTCAGCAAAACTTTTGACCAAAACATTGAGATATATTCATGATGATTTTTTTTAGGTCTATATTCAGAACTTGGTGCCTATCGATGTTCTACGCAGCCCTTCACATAAACTCACCTATGTAACTTGAGTCAGATCCGTAGCTGAACCCCCTTTAAACAGTACAGCTAACCACGCTAAAAGTTGTTATCCAACAAATCTGATAGGACTCTTGCCTGATCAGACATGTTTTTGGTTTTCTAATGTACATTTGATCTGGAGAAATCTCTCCTTGTCTTTACAAGGAAGTGGATGAGTTTTGAAAACTGACGTGACAGCTCTGTCGCCCTCTGGTGGCTAATAATTAACAGTGTAGCTTTTATTTGAACTCCGGGTCCATCAGCCTTTGAAATGCAGACTATATGGCTGAATCCCAAACGCTACCCCTTAACTATGGTTGTGGGTATAAACGACAATGATATAACCTCTTCCCACCAATGGAAAACAATCGTTGCTATGGCGACACAGTGACACCCCGTGTGTGTCTCTAGCTCTGTAGACATGAAATCAAACATTTGTCCCTTTCTTAAAACAAATGTATACTGTCAGATAAAACTATTTCCAAGATGACCATCCTTTTGTGGGATTAATGCATCTCTTTATCATTTTCCTGACTGTCAGTGTGACAAAGATGCAGCAAACCAGCGGAACCTATATTTGGATGCAAGCGTTTCCTCGGCCATTGGGTCGCCGTACCACCCGCTGCTACATTCCAGCGAGGCTGTGTAAGACTCGCTATTTAAAGGCTGAACGGTCCACTCAAACTACCCACTACGGGGTTTGGGATGGTCCTTTAGGTGTCAGACCCTCTGGGGAACACGCAAACAAAGGGTTAGTGTTTAGGGGCCGGTCTGAGATTCAGCCGACATGTCAACATGTATGAGCCGGCTGCAGGCAGGCGACCATAACAGCAGGGAAATATGTTAGAGAAACTAGAAGGTAGATTAAGTGATCAGAATTAAACTGATTTAAACAAGTTATTTAAATTCTAAGGCTTGATGAATATCTTTTAAAATTATTTTATCAAAACCCGATTAAACAAACAAAACTATAGAATTGCACGGGTCAATGTGTTTAGGTGATGAGCAGTTAATATTATTGAATGTAGTTTTATATAAAATAAATCTACAGCAACATGCAAAAGTATTCACACGCTTTAGGTCAAAACTACGAAGTTTGAATAGTTTGTTAAGAAATAATGTATATATAATCAGATATTTATGATATAATCAACTAATTCTGATACTTTCCGAAGTATTTTGTTCTTAGCCTATCAGATTACATTCCAATAAAACTGAATAATTTAGAAGTTGGAACGTGGCGACATAAAAAAATATTAAAGGGTGAATATTAGGGGTGTAAATCACATCCATCATGGCGATTCGATTCAGTATAGATTTTCTGATCCAACGATTCGATTATTTTTGATACTCAAAAACACCACGATACGATTCGATTAATTAGTTCATCTTTTTTTTTTTTTTTTTTAAACAGGCCAGGCAATGTTTCAAATTTGAAATAAATCACTGAAAGCTGTAATATCGTTATGCATTTTTTTGAGAAACAACAGCAAATAACAGAAGTAGAAAAGTTGCACTCTATCTATTCCTATTAAAACCTCATTCACTGAAAAATAATACCTCTGCGTTATAGATTCTGAAAGGCCTTGCATTAAGAAATACTGCACAAAATCAGTGCAATGAGTGCAATTCAATACCTCGGCTCCAGACGTCCCGCCCCCTCCACAGACGCTCCGCTGCTCCTCTCCCAAATTGTAGCTGACCGCAAACTCTGCCGCAGACAAGAGGCCGGCTTGTTTTGTTTTAATGACCGAAATTGCGGAAAACAACTCGTGAAGTTTGACCCGCTAGAAGAGCGAGGTGCGCGAGAACGCTGGGACCCTTTTTCCACCTGGATCTCCGCCCTTTTTGGCCCTCATGTTCCTCCGTCGTCGGACTAAACTTGCCCCCACTTCCTCGCCGCCTCGGCCGTATCTAGACCCACAGCGTGTAGCACAGACCACGCTTCAATATTGGGCATAATTTAAAAATGTCTGTGTCAAGCTCACTGCGACACACTGCTGTAAGAGTATAACCAGGAAGCGAGGTAGGAGGGCAAAATAGGTTTAGCGCCATCGCAGCACGGGAGGGAGAATTACGCCCAGGAGCAAATGGATAAAAATAGACCAGAGGAAAAAAAAAACATAAATCGATTCTCTTGCAGACATATCGATGCATCGGATCGTTGGCTGTTGGATCGATACAAAACGATTATTATTTACAGCCCTAGTGAATATGCTGGTGAGGATTCTCAGCCATTTAGGTCATAGTCATCCCAAAAAAGTAAAAAAAAAAAAAAAAAAAACAATCCTGGATGGGATGCAAAATGTCTTCAAACTTTGAAAGAAAGTCCAGTGGATTTTTTTTTTTTTTTTTTTGGAATTCAAGAAGGAATTAATGCTTTCCTAAGGAACCCTGAAACGTATCCCCTAATAAGGAGGCACAGGTCACAGGAGGCTGGAATACGGCCAGAGTCCTCTGCAGACATCATTTATCCTGCAACCATCAAAGCATGTTTATATCACCAAACATGAGACCATAAACAGGAAGCCAGGGAAACGTAGAACAAGGAGGGACAGAAAATGAATCCACTAAACTGATGATTTTTCACTCAGAAAGAAAGATTCCTAAACAGCTTTTTTCTCAGTGAACTGAATGCCTCGGAAAATGAAGCTTGGTGTTAAAAAGGCCAGATTCTGTCCCAGTTTTCAGCTTTAAATAGATCACTGAAGCAGACATGCTTGGCAAATGGCTGCAGAATGAAAATATGGCAACAATAATAAACTAAAAGTCATTCCTTAACTGTAGTGACCTTTTCCCAGTACAAACAGAGAAAAAAGATGTGACCCACCTTGGTGAGCACGGCTGTGTGATCTTCTCCACAGGAGACATAGATCACCCTCTGTGATCTTAATGACTTGAGGAGGGTTGGGAAACAGCGATCTGTTGAAGGACACCTGAGAATTAAAGCCGTGGGTCCTAAACACCACCAATCAGTTTCAAGCTTTGCTGTGACCCACCATTGGTGTCGTTGACACCCAGCTGGCCGAACTTGTTGCAGCCCCAACCAAACACGGCTCCAGAGAGCGTGAGCGCGAAGCTGTGAGCGCCACCTGCTGACAGCTGAGCGAAAGGAATGCCCTGCAGGGACTGAACCATCTGAGGTGTGGGAATGCTTTGTCCCGCTAATCCAAGCCCCAGCTGACCGGATCGGTTCTGACCCCAGGAGAAGATCTGCCCACCTGTAGGTTAACCCATATGATAGACTGTCTGTAGCAGAAACAGAGGGAGTAGAAGAAATCTCCAAACATCATCGGTCAGTAAATCTTCCTCACCTCTTGCTAGAGCCAGGGAGTGCCAGAAGCCACAGGCTACCTGGGCGATCTGTACCTCCGACAGACTCTTTATGTTCCTGACATGTTTGAAATGAGCAAGAAACATTCATCATTTATAAATACAAAGGAATTCTACATAAAAATAGTTTATACAACAGAAAGAAGCAGAAACTAAAATAAACTTTTCTATTCACACTTTGAATTGTTGCTAACACAACCTTTGATGTATTTGACTGGGAACTGATGTGACAAACCAACACACTGTTGGAGGAAAATGAAATATGGTTTTTAAAATACGAATTGTTATTATTCGATCCGATTTTTTTTCCCCCCATGTCACACTGACTACGTATAGTGAAGCTCCGCCTAGGCAGGGGGAACAGATCTGTGCTTATTTATTTTCACTTCTGTTTATTCTGCTATACAAAAATAACAATTATTTTCCACTTTTGACTTGGATAGAATGTGAGAAGTTATTAAATAAAAAAAAACAAAAAAAAAACAGCAAGCTATAAAGCAAAGCCCCAGAGTCTGAGTCTGTGCAGTACGACAGAGTATTAGGGCCAGGCTAGAGATTTTTGTTTTCTATTTTGAGAAAAAAGTCACACCATTATGAGAATAAAGTAGTAAAATTATAAGAATAAAGTAGTAAAATTATGAGAATAAAGTTATAAAATTACGAGAATAAAGTTGTAAAATTACGAGAATAAAGTAGTAAAATTACGAGAATAAAGTATTAAAATTACGAGAATAAAGTATTAAAATTATGAGAATAAAGTTGTTAAATTATGAGAATAAAGTTGTAAAATTATGAGAATAAAGTTATAAAATTACGAGAATAAAGTTGTAAAATTACGAGAATAAAGTAGTAAAATTACGAGAATAAAGTAGTAAAATTACGAGAATAAAGTATTAAAATTACGAGAATAAAGTATTAAAATTATGAGAATAAAGTTGTAAAATTATGAGAATAAAGTAAAATTATGAGAATAAAGTAGTAAAATTACGAGAATAAAGTTGTAAAATTACGAGAATAAAGTAGTAAAATTACGAGAATAAAGTAGTAAAATTACGAGAATAAAGTAGTAAAATTACGAGAATAAAGTAGTAAAATTACGAGAATAAAGTTGTAAAATTATGAGAATAAAGTAGTAAAATTATGAGAATAAAGTAGTAAAATTACGAGAATAAAGTAGTAAAATTATGAGAATAAAATCGTAAAATTATGAGAATAAAATCGTAAAATTACGAGAATAAAATCATAAAATTACAAGAATAAAGTCGTAAAATTACGAGAATAAAGTCGTAACCTTACGAAAATAAAGTCATAAAATTACGAGAATAAAGTCATAAAATTACGAGAATAGTCGTAAAATTACAAGAATAAAGTCGTAACATTACGAGAATAAAGTCGTAAAATTACAAGAAAAAAGTCGTAACATTGCAAGAATTAAAGTCGTAAAATTACGAAAATAAAGTAGTAAAATTACGAGAATAAAGTAGTAACCTTACGAGAATAAAGTCATAAAATTACGAGAATAAAGTCGTAACCTTACGAGAATAAAGTTGTAACCTTACGAGAATAAAGTCGTAACCTTATGAGAATAAAGTCAGAAAATTATGAGAATTAAGTCAGAAAATTATGAGAATTAAGTCGTAAAATTACGAGAATAAAGTCAGAAAATTATGAAAATAAAGTCAGAAAATTACGAGAATAAATTTGTAATGTTAAGAGAAACAAGTTCTATTTTATGACAACTCCTTCCCTAAAATGAGGAATGTGGAGCATCATGTGAAGTTATACTTTAGCATCGGTTTGATAAATCAGGAAATCTTTTAGCAGCAGCATCAAACTGGTCATGATGTCAAAGTGGACTCAGGTTGCTGATTGGTGGAGCTGGTCGGCCGTCATCTGTGGGCGGAGCTCCAAGCTTTCTTTCTGAAACGGGTTGTTGTTTGATGACTTCATTCTCATAATATCACAATTTTATTCTTGAAATTTAAAAAAATAAAAATAAAAATCTCTATCCTGGCCCTCATACTTCTTCGTAGTGCGTGTGTTCTGGGCTTGGGTGCAAAACACATTTGTATTCAGTCCTCAAGGTTTCCAACTGTAGAGCAACACGTTTCCTCCTTTTTATTCGTTGCAAAACAGGAAATATGGGATTTCTTTTCAATGCTCAACAGATGACACACAAATGTAAGTCCTACTGAAGAAAACCAGCTCCACTTCTCCTCAGTCTCTGCTTTTAAGACTTGAAAGATTTGATGGCCGTAGATTTCTTAAAACTAAATGAAAAAAAAAAAAAAAAAAAACAGAGTTGGAGATTTTTAGCAGTTCCAGTGAAAACTCCCTGACAGATACTGGATCTCAGGCTCAGTATGTCAGGCCTATTATTACCAAGTTAGAGGTTGGAACAGATGCTGGTCTGAATCTCACATTTAGAGCTGCTGTAAAATCCAGCTTATTCCACTTGAGGCAGCTACCAAAGGTTAGACCTTTTCTTTCAGGTCAGTATTTTGAAATGGTAATCCATGCCTTTGTAAACACTCCTCTGGATTCCTCTAATGCACCTTATAAGGTTATCAGTAATTCATGCATTTCCCAGCTTCAAAGGGTGCAGAACGCGGCTGCCCATCTCTTAACAGGTAAAGATAAATATGATAATATTTCCAGTATTTAAGCCTCTTTACACTGGCTGCCTGTAAATTATAGGATTCATTTTAAAATCATTTCATTTGCTTTGACGTTTCTAAATGGCCTTGTCCTGCCCTACCTGTGCAACTACATCCCTACACACCCTCGTTTTCCCTTAGGTCAGCTGACCAGTTGTTAGTGAGGGTGCCAAAGACAAAACACAAGCTCAGAAGAGAGCGTGCTTTTTCTGTCGCAGCTCCCAAGCTGTGGAATGACCTTCACAGACCTCTTCACTTTCTGATTTTAAATCTCTTCTGAAGACCCATTTCTTTTCCTTGGCTTTTAACACAGTCTGAGATGTTAACTTTGTCTTACTGCGTTTCTTTTATTATTTTAGTACTGCTTTATTTACTGCTTTAGAACTACTTTTATATGCCACTTTATTTATTGTTTTATGATTGACTATTTGTATCTTTTGATTGTGTAAAGCACTTTGGTCCTGTTGGGTGTTGCAAGTGCTTTACAAATAAATGGTATGTTATGGTAAAATAGCTCAGGCGCAGTACAAATGTCTGTAAAAAATATTTATTTATATTTAGACGGGTTCTACAATTGATTTAGGACTGGACTTTGACTTGGACACTCATGGAGCTTGACTATGCTTTGGTTTGAACCATTATAATGCAGCTCTGGCTGGATGCCCTGCTGGAAGGTGAAACTCTATGCCAGCTTCTGACAGGTTTTGGTTCTGGATTTTAGCCTCATTCGTCTAAACATGAATCCATATATATACATGTATACCAGTAGTCGGCAACCCAAACTGCTCAAAGAGCCATATTGGACCAAAAAAAATTAAAAATCTGTCTGGAGCCGCAAAAATGTAAAAGCCTCGTATAGCAACACGGGCTGTAAGTGTATTATCACTATAGAAAAGGACTATATGGGCTTAAATATACAGGTGCTGGTCATAAAATTAGAATATCATGAAAAAGTAGATTGATTTCAGTAATTCCATTTAAAAAGTGAAACTTGTATATTATATTCATACATTACATACAAACTCATATATTTCAGATGTTTATTTTGTTTAATTTTGATGATTACAAATGACAACAAATGAAAATCTCAAATTCATCATATCAGAAAATTAGAATATTGTGAAAAGGTTCAAAATTGATGGCCCCTGGTGCCACACTCTAATCAGCTAATTAACTCAAACCACCTGCAAAAGCCTTTAAATGGTCTTTCAGTCTAGTTCTATAGGCTACACAATCATGGGGAAGACTGCTGACTTGACAGTTGTCCAAAAGACGACCATCGACACCTTGCACAAGGAGGGCAAGACACAAAAGGTCATCGCTAAAGAGGCTGGCTGTTCACAGAGCTCAGTGTCCAAGCACATTAATAGAGAGGCGAAGGGAAGGAAAAGATGTGGTCGAAAAAAGTGTACAAGCAAGAGAGATAACCGCACCCTGGAGAGGATTGTGAAACAAAACCCATTCAAAAATGTGGGGGAGATTCACAAAGAGTGGACTGCAGCTGGAGTGAGTGCTTCAAGAACCACCACACACAGACGTATGAAAGACATGGGTTTCTGCTGTCGCATTCCTTGTGTCAAGCCACTCTTGAACCACAGACAGCGTCAGAAGCGTCTTGCCTGTGCTAAAGAGAAACAGGACTGGACTGCTGGTGAGTGGTCCAAAGTCATGTTGTCTGATGAAAGTAAATTTTGCATTTCCTTTGGAAATCAAGGTCCCAGAGTCTGGAGGAAAAGAAGAGAGGCACTTCATCCACGTTGCTTGAAGTCCAGTGTAAAGTTTCCACAGTCAGTGATGGTTTGGGGTGCCATGTCATCTGCTGGTGTTGGTCCATTGTGTTTTCTGAGGTCCAGGGTCAACGCAGCCACATACCAGGAAGTTTTAGAGCACTTCATGCTTCCTGCAGCTGACCAACTTTTTGGAGATGCAGATTTCATTTTCCAACAGGACTTGGCACCTGCACACAGTGCCAAAGCTACCAGTACCTGGTTGAAGGACCATGGTATCCCTGTTCTTAATTGGCCAGCAAACTCTCCTGACCTTAACCCCATAGAAAATCTATGGGGTATTGTGAAGAAGAAGATGCAATACACCAGACCCAACAATTCAGAAGAGCTAAAAGCCACTATTAGAGCAACCTGGGCTATCATAACACCTGAGCAGTGCCACAGACTGATCGACTCCATGCCACGCCGCATTGCTGCAGTAATACAGGCCAAAGGAGGCCCAACTAAATACTGAGTGCTGTACATGCTCATACTTTTCATGTTCATACTTTTCAGTTGGCCAACATTTCTATAAATCCTTTGTTTTTATTGGTCTTCAGTAATATTCTAATTTTCTGATATGATGAATTTGAGATTTTCATTTGTTGTCATTTGTAATCATCAAAATTAAACAAAATAAACATCTGAAATATATGAGTTTGTATGTAATGTATGAATATAATATACAAGTTTCACTTTTTAAATGGAATTACTGAAATCAATCTACTTTTTCATGATATTCTAATTTTATGACCAGCACCTGTATAATAAGCAGGTGATGGAGGAACAGTGAACGCTCCCATCTCGCACCGCTTCACCGAGTGCCACTTCACCATCTTCACTGCAGTTTAAGTTTTCTTGCAATTATGAAATAATAGAAACACAATAAAGAAATCTTTCTATGGTGGACGTGTTTCTGTTGGGAGGAGTTTATTGAGTCATGAGGAACCAAGCAGGAACTGACACCCATCAGAGCAGAGCTCTCTAACCCTGAAATCCCACATCCTCCGTCACCATCGTTCCACCATCGTCTGATTAATATTTTTAGGATTTGGGGAAAAAATGGAAGAAAGTTCAGATACCTGTATCAAAGCGCTGCCTGTTTGATCTGTGGACGGTTTTCCATCCTTGCAACAAAACTAGCAGCAGTAGTGAAGTTTGGAGATGTAATCCACTTCTTAAATCTATCTTTGCGCTCCTCTAATTTATCCTGCAAACGCACTTTTTCTCTCCCTCCCAGCTTGGTGGTGGGCTGCAGATTTAGCCTTCCCTGGAAATGCCTTTCCAAATTTTTCTTTTTATTGTTTGACACCCTCTCATTACAAAGCGAAAATGCAGGCAATCGTTCAGCATTGATGATGAAAGCAAATGAGTCGGCCTATTTGAATCCTCTTTTCTCATCAGCTATCTTCCTTTTTTCCCCTTTGGGATTCATATTCTGAGACACTCCTGTGGCTTTGTTTGCCTGGCACCGCGCAGCGCTGGTTCCAAGTTATGATCACTGATCTCTATGGCTTTGATGCAAATTATTGTTTATTATTTATTTATAACATAAATGTTTAAAGCATTGGAAAACATTAATTTTTGTTTGCAACCTGCACACCACATTAAAAAAAATAAATAAATCGATTTTCATAAATTTTTGAAAAAGCTCCAGGGAGCCACAAGGGGGAGGCTAAAGAGCCGCAGGTTGCCGACCCCTGATATATACACTACATACATAGATAAAGACGATCCTAAAGCATGATGCTGCCACCACCATGTTTCAGCACAGGGATGTCGTTTTCCGGTTGATCAGAGCTGCTAGTTGTCCTTCTAGACCCCTTATCTGGGCTGTATTCCATTAAATGGCCTCTTTGACCAGTGGCTGAATACAATTTTTGAAAATGAATCAAGAAATTTAAGAAACTGAGGTGATAATTATTTCTAATCAGTGTTGGTTTGCCACATGAAATATTGATTAACCTCATTTGTGATTATAAAGGGACAAAATGTGAAAAAGCTTTAATGCTTCCTACTGCAGTCATTGGTAAATATAACATAGAAGTGACTGAATTACCTCGGGACTCTGATACATTCTTCAAAGTTATTCAAGCCCAGTTGTCCGTCTGAACCGAGCCCCCAGGAGAAAACCTGCCCTTTGTCGTTTAAGGCGAGCGTGTGGGACTCTCCGCAGGACAAAGCCACGATGATCTGAGCATCTAAGGCCCCTACCTGCTCTAATAGATGACAAGGTTAAAAGTCTGTTAGGGTCGACGGTACGGGACGATGGAACCAGACAGAACCCGAAGTATCACCAACCTGGTTTCTTTCTGGACTTCTCGTGTCCCAGTTGCCCCAAGTCGTTACAGCCACAAGTGTAAACGGTGCCATCGTCCAGCAGGAAAGCCGTGTGTCTGCGGCCGCACCCCACGCCGTTCACCCGCTTACCGTGAAAGAACTCACACTTTCGCGGGACAACCACGATCTCTTCGTCGATCCCGCCCAGTCCCAGCTGTCCATAGGAAGCATTTCCCCAACACAGCATGGTGTCTCTCACCTCGGGATACACTTGGCTCTGTGGAAAACAACGCTGGTTATTGTAACCTCACAGAGAACATTAATAAATGCAGACTTTACTGCTCATCTCCTAAAAAAGTAGCCTTTCCTTCATAACTAAGGGTCAAATCCAGACATTAGTTTTTAAAGCTCACACAGAAAAACAACATACTCCTTTTTGTGCTCTATATAGTTACATTAGATGCATGGTCTGTGCTTATTCTGCATTAATGAATGCATTAGTGCAGCAAAGCGTCGGCATTCAATGCTTTAGCCTTCAGTGTTAAATCTGGTGTCTCTCTTCCTCTAAAAACTATAGATTCCCTAAGAGCTTAAGCTCAAGTGCATTCGTTAATCAGTATATGTCTGATGATTAAAGCAGGTGTTTGTACTTTTAGCAATAAGTTCTTCCAAAAAAGCTAAAAAACAATCCACTGGACTTTGTTTTCACATTTGAAGTCATTTCGCTCCCCATCAGGAAGCTTTTTCAATTAAAAAAGTCTGGAACAGCGTTGAGTTCAAGGTTTTATATAGTAGCCCAACAAAGCCTTGTTTTTGTTTAGAAAACATGCAAATTGAAACGGACGAATGGATCCACCCCATGAAACGGGGGGTCGTTTGCCTTTTGTTATCCTTCTTTTGTTACTTTGAAATGAAAAAGCTTACTAGACAGGAAGCGAAACGTCTTCAAACTTGGAAACACAGTCCAGTGGATTGTTTTTAACTTTTTTGGAATGACTATGACCTGAGTTCAGCAGCATACTTTTAGCCAAACGCAGGGTACTAATTCATGTTGGAAAAAGTTAAATGCTTTACAATGTCATGGTAAGAATGGAGTTGATTTTATACTAGATGCCACGGTTCCCCCAATCATCACTGACTGAGAAAACTTCACACTGGACCTTTAAAAAAAGCTAAATATTTGTACCTCAATTCTCCATCATACGGAAGAGGATTAGGGCCACTGGGAAAAAAAAAATGTAACTGATTTTTAAATTTTATTTCAGTTTAACATGGGAAAAAAGTCAGAATTCTGACTTCAATCTCAGAATTCTGACTTTAATCTCAGAATTCTGACTTTCATCTCAGAATTCTGACCTTCATCTCAGAATTCTGACCTTTTTCTCAGAATTCTGAATTTTTTCTCAGAATTCTGACTTTAATCTCAGAATTTTGGATCTTAATGTAGATGGGCACCATGAAGGAAGAGATGTGGAGCACTCAGCTTCACTGACAAAGATGTGAGTTGTTTTAGGTGGCCAGTGACACATTGGTGGAAAATGACGGAATTAGGCAACTTTTAACGTGCCCGAGGGGTCCCTTCATTAATGGAGGAGCAGAAGGTCATTAAAACAAAAGAGCTAGTCTCTAAAACAGACATGGCTATGGCTTGATGCTAACATGTTTGTTATCTGTCAGAATTCTGAGAAAAAAGTCAGAATTCTGACCTTTTTCTCAGAATTCTGAATTTTTTCTCAGAATTCTGACTTTAATCTCAGAATTTTAGATCTTATTGTAGATGGGCACCATGAAGGAAGAGATGTGGAGCACTCAGCTTCACTGACAAAGATGTGAGTTGTTTTAGGTGGCCAGTGACACATTGGTGGAAAATGACGGAATTAGGCAACTTTTAACGTGCCCGAGGGGTCCCTTCATTAATGGAGGAGCAGAAGGTCATTAAAACAAAAGAGCTAGTCTCTAAAACAGACATGGCTATGGCTTGATGCTAACATGTTTGTTATCTGTCAGAATTCTGAGAAAAAAAAATCAGAATTCTGACTTTTTTCCCATATTGAACTGAAATAAAATTTAAAAATCAGTTAACTTTTTTTTCGGTGGCCCTAATCCTCTTCCGTACCATCATCTAGATTAAAGTGCCATTATTTTCTTTAATCTGAAAGAAAAGACGTTGGAACAATTTGAGTCCCAAGAAAGATTCTTTACTTCATAAAGACAATAGAAAAGGTGCAGCACAGCCTTCAACTCGACTCCACAACCTAGCTCTGTTTACTTACAGTTCTCCGATTCGATCTAAATCTTCGTTGATCGGAAGTTCAAAACCTCTGTTTACACTGACATGAAATGAAATGATCCGATCATGGCGTGTGTATACATGTACCAAGACTAAACAGATCATTTGAGCAGGAGTAGAACTGTCTGGTTTTTTTGGAAATGCTTTAGTAGAAGAAGAAGAAGAAAGTGGCAGATTTGTAAACAAACCCGTACTTGTCCGCTCATCGTCAGCTTTAGTTACTCTTCGTGCCTGCCCGTCACATTTCTTTTTCTTCAGTTCTTCAGTCGTGTCTGTTGATGTAGTGTTTTTTTTTTTTCATTATGGTCATTTTGTCACATCTTGTATCATACTTTTTGTTTTAGTGTTGCTCAGTAGTAATGCTAAAACTTGTTTGCAACATGCTGCAGGGCATGTTTATCCATACATTACATTTTGTGCCACCTTCTCCACCAATCTCCTTTCATTGGAGATTATTTTACTCCAAATATCCAAATAAGTGTTTACATGGACGCCAATTGGAATGTCGATCGGCAAAAACCACCTCTCTCTTTCAAAATGAAATTTCTTTCAGATTAGTATCTTCATTCTGACATGTTTACATTAAACATTTTCAATCTGATCAGGCCGATTATTTGTGTTGTGAATAAAGCTATTGTAAATCTCTAAAATCCACACTTTTTCCTTCCACTTAACTTTCTATAAGTCATCTATGCTTCTTTAGGAATGACCTTTTGTGGCTTCTGGCTCCTCATAGGAGGCGTCAATGACTGTCTGCTGTGTAACTGTCAAATCAGTCATTACTCCATGGCTGTGAAGAACATAACATGGACATAAAACAACATTTGAACTCATGGTTATAACTTTTTCTTGATTTGGTAAACTGGCTAAAAACGCACCAGCACACACAAGCTCCAGGCTCAAATCTAAACCAATTAATCAAGCTAATAGTTAAAGCAGGGCTGCCAACTTTTCATCAAACCTTGGAGTGAGATTTTGAAATAGTTTGGATAGGAAACCTTGTCAGGGTTTGACTGAGAGGCTATGAGGATAGGTGCAGCTATCGGTTGTCTTTTTTTAGAGGATTTAACTGAGTGACAAGTGGCAAAATAAGACAGTAAATGTTGATAGAACAGTAAATGTAACTGAATAACAATAAGTTATCTGTAGTTATGTGTAAAAATGTTTTAAAAACATATATTATTTTTCATATTCTGGGGATTTTTATAGAATTAAAGTAAAGCAGTATGGGCCCTACTAAAATAATTGCATCTTAAATATACTGTAAACTAAGAATTTCAAAACTTGTTCATTAATTATTCTATGCAGCTCAATTACAAAAAAACATAATATACAATAAAATAAACTAATAAGCTATTACTGGATTACTGGCACTTATACAGGAACCAGTGCAATCAAATCCCGTGCAAACTACTCTGTGTATGAATATTTGGTAAAAGGCTGAGGATTAAAAAAAATCTTAACTCATCTTATTAGTATTTCTTACAATTGACAAAAAAGCTAAACAATTCAGACCTTCTAGGAGACTGTAGATGGCTTCAACGAACAATTATTAATCGATTAATAATTGGATAGGCAAAGGTTCCTTAAAAAAAAAGATATTTATAATGAAATTAAACCAGGTGAAGCTAAATCTTTTCCACTTGGAGAGTATAAAGTATAATGAAAAATGACCTTTTTTTTATATATAAAAAATGTTTACATAATTGTTTTTAAAATTTTGGTATAATTGCTGCTCTAGATGGGTCACTCTGTCAGCTAAAGGCATTTTTTAGAGTCTCTATATTCCAGTTAAGGATGATGGATCACTAAATTAGTGGATTTTTATCAGTATGATATTTTTCTAGATAAATAAGAGTTGAGTTTTTTGTCTGTCATTTTTTAGAGTGAAAAATTGTGAACATGTGAGGACAGTGAGATGTGTGAGTCTCACACCAAATGGGTGAGAGCTGACAGCCCTGATAATGATGGTGGATGAGCTACTTTAGGTTAGCCAAAACTTTCCTTCTGATGCTCAGAACTCACAGACCTGGACACATTTCTCTAATGATACACATAAAAATAGCATAATCTAGCAAGCTTCACGTTAAGATAATTAAAAATATTATAAAAACACAATATTATGTTCATTTTATCCGTTATCATCGTTAGCATAAAGATTACATGCTTGGGCAGATGAGCCATGACTGATGCAACCTGTCAAATTCATGTCTGAACAAGAGATTAACACGCCGATTTTCTGCAGAAACAAAATATAAAATTGAAATTTAAGCAAAGTGTTAAACACCTGGTGATAATGATACCTAAGGTGCTATTTTTTTTACCACAACAGAGGCAGCTAGTAAGCTACATTATATCTTAGCATGCAGTTTAATAAGTAATTTAAAGCTTATATTAAACTAGGCTAATAAAATAAGTTCTCTGTGTATTTTTGACTCTCTAAAGACGCTTTTTAAATAACTTTGAGAGCATGTTTCAGGTAACCAATAAAGCCAAGCAGTGAATCTCACCGAAACGCTCCTCCACAAACAGCCTCCCCCTGTTTCACCCTGACTGCTTTCAGATATTTAAAGCGGACATTTCTTAAAAGGATCGCCGTTAAATGCTAACAATCAGCTGGATTAAAGTAAAGCTCCACTCCACTCCAAAAAGCTCTGTCAACAACTGCTATACGGCGCTATTAATGTTGTATGTAAAGCAAGCTTAGCTATAACAAGCATTTCCGGTTAGGCTTTAAAAAATAAAAGACATTTACTGATTTTACCGACATCAATTATTGAAATTAGTGTTTATAATAATTGTATTCCTACTTATTAATATTAAAACATATAGAAAGAAATTGAAAAGAGTTACAATATTATGCGAAGAGTCATCACGGGGATTTTGTGAGATTTAATTTTGAAAGTGTGACCGTTTGACCGGTAAACGTACGTGATTACCGTAAACTTTCCCCAAGTTGTGGAGAAATGTCGCGAAACATCAGAAATGTTCTAAATGGGTGGTGTGCGCATGCGTATTACCTGCCGTAGTAAACTTATGAGAGTTACAGGAAATTTTGTTATATTTGGTCATTTTATTTTCATTTTACGTTTTTTTTTTATCCACACCACCAACATACTTTAGTGTTTAATTTAAATTATGATTACTTACAGTTAGTCGCAGAAAAAAAGACATCTCAAAATAAAAGCGAAACTATCTTTTTTATGTGTTATGGTAAAACTAAAACAATGTAAAGATCAATTCTTAGAAAAAACAAATAAAACCCCATTCCAAATTCATTTGCAAATTCAACCATGATTTATAATGGAATGAAATAGATGTACTAAAAAATTTTATTTATGAAAAAATAATAATATTTAAATATAAAAAAACGTATAAATCTATGAATTATTACGTTTTATCTACAAATGTTTCAGTTAATTTTTATTCAACAGATTATTCCATTTTACACAACTGAGCGTTAAATGGAAGGATCTGGAACGTATCTGTTGGATCATTTTCAAACCAAATGAGTCATCTTACCTTCTTTGAAATTTGCAGATGCAGCGTGTGGATCATTTACCCCTCTGGCTCCCTCTGGTGGGGAGGAAAACACATTACATTAGGTACAAACTGTTCTCACTTTAAAGGTTTTGGAAAGGTTAACACAGCTTTTCTTCCTAACCTCTTAATAAAAACACTGCTGAAGGAACTGCATATACATGACACTAAAAGAAGCAATTTTACTTGCTTTCACAGTTGTTTACTTAATATAGTCTGAGTTTGAATGTTTTTTGTGCCTAGATATGAACTTTTTTTGTGATTAAAAACATTATTCAGTCCTTATTTTTGATCAATGAGCTGCAAACACATAAACGGAAGTAGAAAACACATATAATAGAGGAAAGAAGCAAAATAAAAACCTGTACTATCCTTAGAACATGATACTTTTCTAAACTTATATTCTTATAAAGCTATAAAATAAAAATACTGTAAGAACACTGGATGAATCGTCTCTATATATATTGGGTTTCTGTAACCAATTTTCTTCTTTGTCTTTCTTTTTTTATGAAACCAAAATGTAACATCAACAAACAAATCTTAATCACAGTTTCATGTAAAGGCTTGAATTAGCAGTGATTAACCACAGGTATTTTGAAAGGCTGAGTTAGATTTAACTTGCTACACATCTGATTTTTGCTGCCTTTATGGAAAAAAAAGAGAAAAACCCCAAACAGAACCTGACAGACGACCTGAAAAGGCTAAAATATTTCAGGACGGAAAACATGCTCTTATCTGAGGAATCTTAAGAAAGAAATAGAAACCACGTCAATGGAATCTATCAGTCAGGAGAAGATTAAAGCTGATGTCTAACCCTTTTATATCACAACAAACAACAATGAGCACCATTAACTTATACTGGAGCACCCAGGAAACGCTGGCGATACTTCTTAAAAGCAGCTGATAATATATTCCAGTCGTGTAGTGAAGTAGTATCAAGTTCCCATTAACCAAAAGTAGCATCTAAAGCATTGCTTCAATTAAAGTCTGTATTCATGATTAGAACACATGTTGGTAATAGAGCTTCAAGGTGAAATGAAATGCTGACATAAAAGCCAGGGGCGAATTTAGGAAATTTGGGGCCCCAGGCAAAGACAGGCAGGGGGCCCTCTAAATTGAGAGGACGACACATTAAAAAGGTTATAAAGATACAGATATTTTAATAGAATAGACAACCATTATTTGCTCTATGTTTTGTCCCTGTCTTCTTGTCCCTTTTCTTGTTGTTTTCCTCTCTATGTCTATATGCTCCTTCCTGTGTTTGCAAAAAGGCGACGGCAAAAGTAAATAACCCAGTCCTTCTTTTCACTGTAGACAAGCCATGATCTGCTTATCTGTTCTCCATTTTTTATTTGGATGAAATAATAGCATGAATCATGACAGCAGACAAGATAGAGGAGAGCAGGAGGCGGGGTTACCAATCTACTTGCTCTGGAGAGCAGAGTTCGCTGCTTTTAGATGTTGTCTCCAAAGTCTCCAGTAGCAGAAAAACGTCACTAAATTCGGCACTGGGCCCTTTTTTAAATAAAAGTGCTGGAGGGACTGAAAAGTCACTAAATATAGCAATGAGTGCTAAGTTGGCAACACTGCTCTTTGCATCGTTTGTTTTGTTTTGTCTGTTTGGATCTTTCTGAACATGTGCAGCAAATTAACTGATCATTGTGGAGGACACTGAAGCATTTTGATGGCATTTTAGTGAAAGGATTTGTATCAAAACATATTTAATGTGCACAAATAAGGAATAGTTGTATTAACCATACATTGTAAACAGAGCTAGATGTTAACCCAACAGCTTTGCTTTCACAAGCACACTATTATGTTGCCATTAGGTTTCCCTGAGGTTCCTATATGAACTTAATTGAAAGTGATTTAGGGAGTACATTCATATACAACAGACATGGAAACAGAAAGGGAAGTGAGAAAAAAGAGGATATAAGAACCAAGGAGAGAGAGAAAGACACAGGAAAGAGTGCATAAAAAGAACAAAATTGAAACATAACAGCAAAAAACGACAACGCAGAAGAAATACAGTAACTCCTAGAATTCTGTTTAGTATTAGTGTGCATCTTTAAATGCCTGGAACCAAACTCCTGTGGTATGTATACTCCTGTATAAAGAATTCACAAAGCTTCTTCAGAAGGGAAATGAGCTTAATAGCAGGTGTGGGCGGCCCCAGATTCACCCTACAGGGTCCAGGGTGTTTTAAAAAAAGGCCAGAGCCTCAGATATCTAAATGGCAGCCCAGATCACTGGGACATAAGAAGGGCAGACATGATGGCCGCACCCACCAGGATGAGCGGCTCACTAACTTCGCCAGCAGCCGATGAGGTGGACCCGTGACGTACAGCCAGGCTCTTGTAAAAATATTTGGTGAACTGATAAAGACAAGGTACAACTATTTGAAAGGTGTGTATCCTAACCTGTCATAGACATTCCTGTATTTTAGTATAGCTGGGTGGTAAAATCATCTGGGTCAAGTTTGCTGCTCCAAGACCTGGACAACATATTCTGTTTGGATTCTGTTCCTAAACCATTAATTCATGACCTTATGCTCAAACTAAAGTTAAAAAGAAAAATATAACTATTTTAGAGCAGCCCTGGAAAGGTCTGACCTTAAATCTAACTGTGATGATGAGCAGGAACTTTATCATCCATTAATAGCAGATAAACCGCTTGTTGATATAAAAATAGCTTATTATGCTTTGAGGTAAATCTCTTTTATTTAAAAACTGCAGAGATTTTTTGAGCGGCCTTTTCCTTTAATTTACAAAACTAACATTTGAAGAGGAAAAAATTTTTTTTTATTAATGAAGGGATTCTGATAATTTATCAGAAAACCATAAACAGAAGAAATATATTTGGGTTAAAAACAAAAATATATTTTTTTAATGTACTGTATATTTTGTTTGATTCTAGTTTTAATATAATAAAAGTTTGAAAAGTTTGACCAAGTTTAACAAACCAGAAACCGCACTTTACCTGCCACCATTTTACTGTACATAAGATACTATATATACGTATATATATATATATATATATATATATATATATATATATATATATATATATATATATATATATATATATATATATATATATATATATATATATATATATATATGTATACGTATATATATATATATATATATATATATATATATAGATATACGTATATATATATTTATATATATATATATATATATATATATATATATATATATATATATGTATGTATATATAAGTCACCTTAAATCTTTCCTTTATTTTTTACCATCCACTGTATATATCTGGATGCACTGTATATACTATAAACTGTTAATAAGAGCCGAGATCTATAAAGTTCTATTCTATTCTATTCTATTCTATTCTATTCTATTCTATTCTATTCCATTCTATTCTAATATAGTTATATTTTAGATGCCCATTGGTAAAAGCTTTGCATTTCCTAAGAAGTCCAGACTGAGCCTCCATGTTAAAACCTCAGAACCAAATGATTTATCTGACAAAGAAATGTTCAAATAGGGATTTTTGATTTTCATTCACGTCTTTAAGGTTGGGTTAAAAAAGTGGAAATTCACTTGTTTTCTTCTAATGCCTAAAATAGACCCAGTTAGCCTGAAGACATGACCTCTCACTCTGAACTGAATGCGGTCAGGTCACTCTGACAAACTGTGACGCTGCAGAATGTCGACACAAAAGGAATGTATTGTTGACAGCAAAATTGATGTTTCATTTATTACTGAGTAGCTGAATGGTTGCGTAAAAGTGTTATTCCCCTCATATGTACATAAAGCCTGATGTTTCTCCAGTTCTCACATCTCCAGAGAATGAAGAAAACATCTAGTGCGGCATAAATATATATTATTCAAGATTTAACTGATTCTGAAGCCAAAATCGATTATTTTAACAGCGAGTTTTCTGCCTTTTTTGATATTTTGCTTTAAAATGAAAAAGAAAGAAGGTTGTCTTTTAAAACCAGTGAATCCACAGTTGATGAATAACTCTCTGATTTAATCCAGAAGTGATCAGTTGGTTTGGATGATTGATCTTTTTAGATCCATTTATTTTGACATGGACTGTCTCCACCTGCTGGGGAGAAAACATTTTTGAAACAGGGAGTTATTGGGGGGGCATTTGGACCAGATGCCACCTCCACT